ATGAGATCTCTCGGAGATTCAAAGACATCAAGACCAACAACATCGCCGAATATGAGGCCCTCATCAACGGGCTCTAGATACTCTCCAACCTGGACACGTCCGATGTACACATCTTCTCTGATTCTGGCTAACAAAGTCAGAAGCGCCATGGCACAGTTGAGCTTCTGGAAGCTCGAGCATGTTCGACGGGACGACAACCAGCACGCCAATGCCCTGTCCAAACTGGCAACCGCCATGGACTTTGAGGGGGATCGTCACGTCACTGTCACCAAAGAAGGCGACCACCCTGGAGAAATCATGATCATAGGGGACGCCTCAGACTGGAGGACGCCGCTGTTCCAATATTTGGAACACGACATCACATCACAACACCCAGTCGAACGATAAGCGCTCAAGCGAAAAGCGCTAAGGTACACCATTGTGGATGGAAAACTTTGCAAAAGATAATTCTCGGGAGCGTATCTGAAGTGCCTCGGCCCAGAAGAGGCAAAGTGGACGCTTAAATCAATACACAAGGGGACATGCGCCACACACGCGGGTCCCACGTCGCTTGAGAGAACAGTCCTCCTACAAGGGTACTATTGGCCAACGGTCAAGAGAGACGCTTCAGACGTCGTTCAGAAATGTCATGTATGTCAAGTACATGCCTAAAAGCATCACCTGCCTAGTTCCGAGCTGCAAAGTGTAGTGGGACCATGGCCATTCGCTAGATGGGGCCTCGACCTCTTGGGACCTTTTCCCACAGCCCCACTAGACAAGAAATATTTGGTGGTAGCGGTTGATTACTTCACCAAGTGGATAGAGGCGGAACCGTTAGAAACGATCATGAGCGCCCGAGTGCAGAAGTTCGTGTTCAACAACATTATGATCCGCTTTGGTATCCCATAGTCAATCATTACCGACCACGGCACACAATTCGATTGCAAGCCGTTCAAAAACTTCTGTGCTAGAAACCGCATCACGTGCACAATGGCCTCCGTGGCGTATCCACTTACGATCGGTCAGGCCGAGGCATCCAACAAGCTGATCCTCCATGGACTGAAGAAGCGTCTGAAAGACGCCAAAGGGGCATGGACAAGCGAACTCCCGCACATCCTATGGGCTCATCGCACGACCTATAAAACCGCTACGGGTGAAACCCCATTTGCCATGACATACGGTTCCGAAGCGGCCGCACCCTAGGAGCTGAACCTTCCATCCCTCCGCGTCCAAGCTTACAATTCGGAGGTCAACCACCAGAAGCTATTGGAACAGCTGGATATGATAGAGTCTAGACGAGATGCGGCCTTAGAACGCATCCTAAGCGAAAAGCGAAAGTGGCCGCTTCCTACAACAAGAGTGTAAAACCACGTCCCCTCGAAGAAAAGATATGGTGCTCAAGCGGGATTTTGAGAAAAAAGATGAGCATGGAAAGCTCGCTGCCACATGGGAAGGCCCATTCCTCATTGGAGAAAAAACAGGTCCCAACACCTTCAGACTTGCAACTATGGATGGCGACCAAGTCTCCAAAACTTGGAACGGGATGCATCTGAGGAAGTACTGCTCAGACGCGGTCTAGGACATTTCATGCTACCGCAAGGATATTTTTGTGGTTCGGGAAATCTCCCACCACTTGTAATCGTGTAATGGTTGCTACCAAGCGACCACTTTTGCTCAAAGTTATTTTGGTGGCTAGGGAACACTCCCTCCACTTGTAATAGTGTATCGGTCGCTACCAAGTGACCACTTTTGCCCAAAGTAATACACTTGCACTTTCTCTCGGCCAACGAGTGTTCCACCCCACACAATAAGTTCACAAGAACACCTAGCGCAAAACGCACTTTTCATCACAACATTGTTGAAACATCAGCGTCAAACAAGGGCAAGACAATGTTCACAGAAACAATAGAAACGTCTTACTCAAAACAAAGGACACAATGCCCCAGAAAGTCAGCGTATCAAACGCGGGGAAGTTAAACTACAATAAATAAACAAGCAAAGAAACGAAAGAGATTGTTTGCATGAGAAAACATAAAACCGCCCTACGGTTCCAGCGAAACAAAGTATTAAGCACTAGGGGACCGCTCACTACCCTGGTCCCCCTCATACATATCACCAGCTTCTTCATCCCCTTCATCGTCCGCCTCGGAGTTTACATCAGCTGTATTCTCATCCATGGTCTTGGAAAGGCGGTCATTCAGCATAATGATTTGTGAAAATCCAATCTGAGCCTGCAAAGGAAACACAGATACGTCAATCATAACTCACAATGAGACCCCACTATCAAAGTCTAAAAAACTAACAGAAAAGAAGAACTGGGAAGCGATTCCAGCGAGTCGCCGATTGCACCCTTGGGAGGATGAAGTATACTCTGACGGCATGACGAGCTGGCGCTCACGGTATCGAAAGCTAGCTCAGCCGCCTCAGTATCAGTGGCTGCAAGAGGGGGCAAAGTTATAGGGTCATGCTTGCCAGGTTGATGTGTGGTCTTACCGCGAGCCTCTCCTGCCCTCCCCTGAGCAAGTCCCGCCTTAGAGCGCTTAGCGGCTCCATGAGGACTACTCGGCTCCAGCGGTCTCTTCTCCGCACCGCGTGTCACCACTGCAGGGGCAGCAGACGTCGCAGTAGGGGCGGTCACCGGAGCAGCGGTCGCAGGGACAGTTTTCCCCACGGCAGCTGACGAAGATCCAGCATCAGTCCTAGCAACAGCGGTTCCCCGCTTCTTCCCTTTCGGCCGGTTTGCATTGGCCAACTCCTTCAAACCTGGAACAAAGAAGAATAAGTAAAGTACATGAGAAGGAGGAAAAGTAAACAACACGACATGATTTTACTAACCATAGAAACCACAAACGTGCTGGTAAGCGCTCTCAGGACCGCTATGTGTCACCCGCAACTGAAATCCCTCTACCAGGCGGTCTACGTGGTCTTTCACTGACCGCGGGAACTGAATGGAAGCACACCAAGCCTCCTTGGAACCAACCGCACAGCTCGTCGGCGGCTCTACATCGCCCGAGTACCACTTCCATGAAGGTCGTGCAAAGAAGTACTCCTTGTACCAAGGAGAATCTAGCTTTGGCGCCCCAGTAACAAGGCTTACAACACCATCCCGCCTCCCGATAGACCAGCAGTTCGTCGAATCACGAATCTTATATATCAGGCAAAAAGCGTTAAAAGACGGTTTCTCGTTGAGGAGGTCACACGCCCAACGGTACATCACGAAATGAAAGATGATCGTCGGAGACAAGCGTCCCAAGGTACACCCAAGCCAAAGCAGAACCTTGGTCAAGATAGGATCTAGAGGAAACCGCAACCCTAACTTTACCTGCTCCACATGGATGGGAATCCATCCGGTTGGACAAGACCCAGAGCGACTAGCTTCCGAAGGGGTCGCGTAACGCCAATCTCGGGGGAGGTTGAGAGACTTCAGGCGGTAAAGGACTTGCTCAGGCCTAAAACCCGCCGTGTGAGCAGGCCCCAATTCAAACACACCGAAAGGAACAGCTTGATCGCCCCATATCCCTTCGTGCCGCATGATCCGCAATGGCACACAAGAGCGGCTCCCCATCTTCTGCGTCCAATACCTCCAGAGAAGACGACGTACTCAGATGCGCCTCAGACCGCACACCCTCACTGTCAACCGCTTCATCCGCATCCAACGATATATGATCTAAATCTACCCGCCCAACCTCACCCATGTTATCCTCAACCGCATATGAAGTAGTCATATCCCCAGTTGGTACAGGGCGGATGTTAGCAAAAGAATTATCTAAGTCTAAAGAGAGATTGACGAAGCAGTCGTGTAATTCAGAACCACTCCCAACGTACAATTCTAGCTCGGATAAATCCCACACGCACTTAGAGGCGGTTCGAGTGGGAGAAGAGAGGGTCATACCTTGAATAACAAAAGCGGTCCCGCCAGAAGATCATGCGACCCTCTTTGCAGCGGCAGGCGACAAAAGCGGCGCTACAAAGACCGTCGGATTGGGCTCGAGAACGACGGTGGGAACGCGGCCGGCGTTGGACGCCTCGGCCGTGACAGCTGCCTCATCGTCTCCCACAACGAGAGAGGGCGTCTTGTCCTCGCTCGACATCGGCTAGCGAGCAGGGAATCGGTGTTGTCGTTTTTGCCGTAAAGGTTCGCACACTAATGCCAGACCCGCGCGATGAATCAAGTTGCGAAAACAACAAAGAGGGCGAGAGGTAAGAACTAAGGCGAGCGCACAAGAATCGTAGACAAAACGCTAGAAAATTTACTTGGCACAACGTTTGGAATATATAGGCAGTCACGGCGAAGAGGGTCGGAGGTTCTCCAAAGCGAAGGGAGGAAGAAGACGAACTTTTCCCCAAAGAAGCAACAGAAGTGGCGGAAAAGTTCTCTCCCTCTGACTACTTAAAGTAAATTTCAGGTCCCAAGCCAAGACAGAGTGACGTTTTGCCTGGTCATGTCAGGGCGTCACGCTCGAGGTTTGATACGTGGCGGCAATCGTGCCGAAGTAAAGACTGCAGGCGTTTGTAACCGCCCCTCTGACGTTCCCGCTTCATGCTCTCACGGCCAGGGGCAGACAGATGGTCATGGACAGGGCGGCCATGTGACCGCTTAATGACGGCAGGATAGTCGTTTAGCCGCGAAAGCCCGAAGCCTCTCACGCCTGAGGGGCAAATGTTAGGCCAATCATTAAGGCATATTGGCCGCCAAGCCCATAACCACCAAAATGGCCCAAAAAAACAAGTAAGCCCAGCCCTAATAGGCCCGGGGCACACCAAGTAGCAGTTCAAAGGAGGTCTTCCCGTATTCCTAATCCGGAAGAACCGCCCGACATAATCCAAACGGAACCCTAGCCGACCGCCCGACATTTGGGTGTAACGTTCCTCTGACATCTCAGTACGGAGGCTGACAAAGGTACGATCCTGACAGCTTCCTGAGAACAGACCCTTATGCGACCTTGGACGCCCGACAGGGACTTAATTGCTCTCTTCCCGATATTCGCTAGTATAAATACCCACTCTTGGGTCACATTTATGATAACTTCTATCTACTAGATTCTCTCTCTTATTTACTCCACATACACTTCTCTCTAACTTTAGCATCATAGGAGGTCCCAGGATACCTCATGCGGACCTTTCTTGCAGGACTTTGAGGACCGCCTCTCGTCTACCAAGGACCGCATGAAGCCAGCGAAGCCTCACAAAACCGCCCGGTACGAACCAGGCACAAACAGTTACCAAGTCCTTCCTCTTCGTGCTTAGGAGGTACGTCGTCTATCTCTATTTCCTGTCAGCGTAGATTGATTTCTTCTCTTAGAATTGCCCCGACGCGAGCTTCAGTTCTGGAATTCGGTTCAATCCTCATTCTTACCCCTAAAGTTTCGATCAAGGGAAGTGGAATGGAGTTCTAATTCCGCGTATTGGGCTCTATTGATTGTTTAGTTGGATTTCCGTTGCATTTATTGAAACCTGTTGGTTAGATGGTCTGGTATCCGCCGGTTAATGTTGTTCTAGCTTTTCAATTCTGCTAATTTTTTGCTGGATGGTAGGATTTTGGGTTGCTGGAGAGGGTTTTAGACATTTGGATGGGAACTTGATTAAATTTTTTATTTTGTTCGTTCTGTACTGGCTGCAGGAACTTTGGTTTATAAAGAAGATGCCCAACAAGGTTAACCTTTTTCCTTTCAAGCTCGACATTGATGAACTCATCAATGAGTTTGTTGAGGTACATTGGAATTCTGACATGATTTGGCTTTTCTTGGTTTCATTTTCCTTTGATCACTGATTGAGACTCACTCAAATGATGGAAACTTGCAGGGTCAGTCGACAAGTTTTCCTGACTGGAAGAAAATATGGCGTTCCAGGAAGTTTTCATACATCTACGAGGTCGCTCCTGCTACACATTTGGGTTTCTTCATGCAGTTATTATATGCCCATACAATTGGTAAGCTAAGTTTTCCCTTTGCCTTATCCCTCTCTCTCTCTCTCTCTCTTTCCGGGTAAGGCTTTCCGTTGTTTCTGTTTCATAGTGCAAGATTCTTGATAAAAATACGAGAGAAGTTAATGTCCTTGCATGGAAAATGCCGTAACGTTTCCGGTCATTATAAAACGCCCTGCCTTCACTTGAAGTCTTTGTTCTGGACCTCAAGACTTGATGGCTTATAGAAGTGCCCATGGATATTTTGCTCTTGAGAACGACAAATGTGAACTGAATTAAGGCTACTGACTATCATGCTCGATTGGAGGGATATCTTCCTGGTTAACTCTATTTTTATATCAACACTGGTATTCTGCTAGCGCTAAGACTAGGCAGGCCTTCCGTTCTCTGACCCTCTTTGCTGAAGCTTCCTGAACTGGGTGTTTGTTAGCTTTTATTGATGTAGTTTGGTTTTCTGGATGATTAACTGCATAGGCAATGCTTATTTCCATGGCAGCAGATAATTATTGACATCATGTTAAAACTCTACAATTGTGGACTCATTTGTGGTTAATCATTTCTGGATGATTAACTGCATAGCCAATGCTTATTTCCCTTGGTATGACTACACTTTCAAAGCAAAAACTTCTCTTCATCTTTAGCGGTCGTTTGCTTCAAGGATTTTATAACGAGGGTTTTGTCATGGATTTGCCAATTAAAAACCTTGGGATTTATTAGGGATTTTGGGCATTATGGATTTGAGGAAATCCTTTGTTTGTTGAGCTATTTTATCATGGATTTGATGAGGTGGGCATGGTTTTTCAACTTGTCTCCAAATCCTAGGGTATGAGGTGGGATTTATAAAAACCTAGGGCCCATGGATTTGGAGCTAAAAAAAACCCAAATCCGTGGGGCCCACAGATTTATCTAAACATTTTTTGACAAAGCAAACAGCGGATTGTGTGTAAATCCATGATTGTTGGTTTTTTGGTACCAAATCCATGATGCAAATCCTTGAAGCAATTGACCCCTTAATTTTCCTTTTCACACCTTTCTCAGTTTAAATAATCCCAACAACTCTGGTTTGTTTATTGTACTCCCCCCCCCCCCCCCCCCTGAAGGGGAACTGAAAAAAATTGAAGAACCTCATCACTGAAGCCATGCAAAGAATGCTGGAAAAGGATGTATTTCTGTTTGGGTATTTGGATTTAGAAGAAGCTGCTAAAACCGTAGAAAAACTCACGGAGCAGGATAATGAAATAGTGAAGTGTGGTGCTAAGAAGTAAAGCTTTCTTCTGCATCATAACCCCTTCCCATATAGATTTTCACACTCATCTTTAGGGTTTATTTTCTATATATTACCTGATTTTGTGTTATTACTCTCTTTTGATTCACAGGTTATTTAAGAGTACCAGGATTGAGCACTTCCTACACTTTGACATGGTAAGTCAATGAAAACACTCTCAAGGAATTCAACGTACATAGGAAAAAGTGGCGTTAAGAAAAACCAATTGTCCTTTCAATTGCATCTTGATTCTGAAGTTCCTTTTACCGGTGTTGCGGTACACGTAGGGAAGGGAATTGGGTCTAGACGAGTTGAAGAAATTATCTACAAAATATGCAGAGTCGAAGCAACATGCAATTGAAGGTGGTGTAACATATATTTTACACGCGTTCTCCTTAGTTCTGCTACTTCTATATGCAAACGAGACGTTAAAAACTCACCCATACGTGTTCTGATGTGCTTCTTCTTTAGAAGCCCGGAAGGTGGTAAACGTGCAAGACGTGGAGCATCTTGAAAATGCCAAGGAACTGGTTGGTGACAAAGTGGAGAAGGTGAGCGAGAGCTGGAATGCCCAGAAGGAACAATTTTACGACAAAACAGGAGTGAGGCCCACTGAGCAACAGGCTCAATATGATTATGATTCCGACAATAATGATGATGAATATACTCGTGAGCTGGAGTTGGAATTGCAGCTGTTTGACGAAGAATTGGATGAGCAATGAAGCAGGGACAATATTTGGTTAGGGACTAATCGACCAGTGAATATCCGTCGAAACTCAAAAAGTCCCTTTTTGATTCATAGACTAATCCCATTAGAGAAGTTTTATTCTAACTTGAGGAGAACTTCAGAAGAACTTCAGGAGATTTTGAGCATTTCAAATTCCTTGCACTCTTTTTACGAGAAAAACAATGTCATTACAAAGTGGAAAAGGTGAGCAAGAGCTGGAATACCAAACAGGAGTGAGGACCACTGAGGAACATGCTCAACAAGATTATGATTCTGACAATAATGATGATGAATATACTGAAATATCCCTAACCAATTGAACTACAACAATCTTTATGTATTTTTTTAATTGAAGAGAGAAAATACTGAAATATCTCAAAATCATAGGACTATCCACCGCAACAATCAATCATCGACTTAATTAATAAATGTAATTATTTACAAAGTGAATCATCATAATATACCTAGCTTTATGAATCAACTAAGTGAGTTCCTCTAATCACAAAATTCTTCACCAAAAATCAAATAGTACATTTTGAGTTTATGTGTGTCTTAGAACTTTTACATTTATTAGGTTACATGACTTTGTAGTTTTTAGGAATACAAGGATTGTTTACAAAAGCGCTATACAAAATTTTATTTCAAAACATAAAATTTGACATTTGTGATCTATGGTTTTGTAACGAGACATTTTCAATGCTATAAGTGAATGACAAAAAATCATTGGCTAACAATTTCCCTAATGGTTGACAATTATAAGCATAGAATTGAAAGATAAATACCATTGACAAATGAGCCAATTATCATTGGCTAAATTTAACAAACAATGGTATGTGTATATACATTGATAATTCTATGGCACACTTGATGGATCGAGGGTTATTGCATCTCCTTAGTTAAACAACATTATCTAGACCATAGAGTAATCACGTAACTAAATCCTATATCATAATTCTCTAAATCCTATTATAGTGCATATGGTATGTTGTATACATCTTGGCGAATCAGAATCATTGATTATGTTCTTAGTATATGTGATATTAGGGTTTAAGTTCTATAGATTTAGGGTATATGATTTAATTATTTGAAACTTAATCTCCCTTTTCAAATTTCCTGCAATGAGAGGGAAATTAGGATTGACATTTTTGTCATCACAATCATCTGTATTTTTTATTTATTTACAGAAAAAGATAGGCATAGTGAGATTTGAACCATGGTCACTTCAAACAAAGTGAATGTTTAAAATCAATCAGACTATGTAGATATGTTGTATTTTTTAAATTAAAAATATACACAAATCTAATCGTGGTGAGAGGAAGAAATTGTGTTTGGATTTGGTAGTAGGTAAAGTTCATGGTTTGGTTTTTTTTTCTTCCGTAAAATGCTTTGATTTATTTTAGTTAGAGGTATAATATCATGGTTATATGGGATCAAATGAACTAAAAATGATCTTGGGGGATGAGAATTCCAACTTAGAAGGAGTGGATTAGATTTTGATAAACTCAAGTTCATGATTAACTGAAAGAATATTTAGATTTGGACTTTGTGGTAATGAGATGTTCATAGAGAGTTTAAAACCGATCCAAGGACGTGGATTGATATTGGTTAGTTGATTGTGATTTTGAGGAAGGTGTATAAAAAGTCATGGAAGTAGTTTGCAGCAAGTGAAGGCAGTGAAGAGGCAGTTGGTCAGGGTAGTGATTGAACCAAGGAGGGTATTGAAAGACATAGAAGCAAAATCGGATCAGTTGAAAAGAGAGAAGTGGTAGATGATCAGGATATTAATGAAAATGGAGAGGGTATTGAAGGGCATGGAAGTGAACTGGATCATGTGAAGGCAGAGAAGGAGGAGAAGAGCACATTGATGGAATTGAAGATCAGTGTTGGTTTTACGAGCTTATTAAAACTGCCCCGAGAAAGATGAGTTGGCCAAATACAAGAAAGAGGATTGAGGAGTTGGAGATCAAGCTGACAAGAAACTCAATTGAAAGAGAAATTCAGGTTCATGGAGAGAAGGTGCGTCCATCAAAGTAGCTTAAATGGAGTTGCAGATGGAGGATTAGAAATTGAATTTTTGTTTAAAACATATACGTCGAGAGATTGAAGATGGTGGGGATAAAAAGTTGGTTGTACAACGAAGAGTGGAAACAATTGGATCTTTAGGTGTTATGGTTTTTGCAATTACCACAACCTATGTTTATGTTAAAATGAGGAATCATTGATTGATTTACTAAAGTTAAGGTCGATTCATTATTCAAAATACGGAAACCTGTAGATAAGGAGTGTCTAATTTTGTGCCTCATTACTTTGATCGAGTCTATTAGTATATTGGATGTAACTCTAATTTGTCATTTGCTCTCAAGTTTTGATGGTCTCCTTTTAGTCGATTTGTTAGCATATGATTTACTTGAATCAACAACTCTTCATTTCTGTTTTTTTTATAAATCCATTTCTTTTTTATTAGTGGCATGTTATTCATAGAGGAGAGCTTTGAACCATTTATGTGGGATTGTGAGGTTTCATTTCAGTTTCAAACTAGCTATGGATCGTGTGGGAATTCCAATGAGCTTTTATATTATATATTTCTGGCCATTCTATTAACCAATATCATTTTAATGGGGGCTCAATTATCATTATAAAAATGGGATTAATGATATATTTTTATATTCTTAAATGAGGAGGTATTTTCCTGAATGTTCGACCTATATATTCATTCTTTATGTAACATCTCGATTGAATGATTTTCAATAAACTTAAACGGATTAATAGACTTAAACATAAAATAAAAATAAAAATATTAAAATATGAACATTCCGGCCAACGGGCCGGGTTATAAGCTAGTTTTAAAAGTAGACAATATCCTCCATTTAGTGTACAAGTTTCACTTTTTGTAATTAGGTTTTACTTAAGAGATTTGAACTTGGAACCTTCAGATTTAAAGCTAGTAGTATTACTACTAGATCAAATCATTTTTGGCAAAGTTAACTGTAAATTTAGTAACAAATTTGAGAAAACTAGTAATTGATAAGCCTTTACTTGAGTTTGTATGTTGGTTTTGGTTTTGGTTTTTAACCAAAATCGAACGGATAAGGGCATTATTAGTTTCGATTTTTCTATCCGAAATCAGTTTGTACCATTAGTTCTGTTTTGGTTTAAACTGAAAAATCTATCAGAAATCGTAACTGGAAAACATTAGGTGAGAGGTTAAAGTGGTTTGATTTTGATTGGGGGTACAGTGATTTTGATTTTTGGATTAGATTTAGAGAAACAACCTGGTTTGGGTTCGGTTTGGTTAACCAAATAAAACCGAATTGACAACCCCTCATCAGGTCAAATTCATTAAGTATTGACAACCCCTCATCAAGTCAAATTCATTAAGTATAGATTTTTATACTTTCATTCAAATTTCTAATCCTGTCATTACGATGATCGCTGGATATCTTCTCCACCCAATTGTGTAACCGATTAGGTAGGTTGAGGAGGACTCAAAGGATTAAGAGACAATGGGTAGACAAGAGATTAGGTATGTTCTGAATAACACGTCTGGATTCTTCCAATGTAAATTAAGCAAACAACTAATCGAAGTATTACCAGATCAACATTGGCCCGATGAGTTAGGCTAAGAGGTAGTTCCGTGATTAGGCTAGCCAGATAGAGGGCTCAGACCGGTCCAGTCCTCTATTAATCCACAATAAAAAAATCAATATTTTCCGTTCGGGAAAAACTTTTCACAAGGCAACTGTAACATATTAGGCAAATCGCACATCGACAAAGTACGGAAGAGATCCATAGTTTATAAGCAAGAAACCGGTCTTAACTTACAAGACACATTTTGGTGTGAAATGGAGTAGTTCTTTTGAGAACTCCGAAGTTAAACGTGCTCTGTGTGGAGTACTACAAGGATGGGTGACCTTATGGGAAGTCACATTGAATTGCACCATAAGTAAAAAACCGTGAGGGTAGAAGCCCAAAGCGGACAATATTTTCGTCGGGAAAAGGTTCGAGATGTTACAACCAGTGTTGTCAAAACCGAACCAGATATCGATCCAGATTAATAAGAGGTTCAAGATTTATCGGATAACAGTTGATTAACTGGTATTAAAAACCGATCATAAATCGGTACTTGGCTCCAGAAAAGGAAATAAAAATAGAGTAAGAATTAAAAAAATAATCAAAACGGAAAAGAAAGAGAGTAGGTGGCTGTAAGTACTAGAGAGTAGGGACTAGGGTTGCTTTGGTTCCATTTTCTTTTATTTATTAAGTGCAAAAAGGTAATGGCAGTGTACTTTTTTCCGGCCGCACTTTGTATGTCTCTGGGACTGGACTTGTGCCCGGGTCCGATTTGTTCCGGTCTGACCGACCAGTCCGACCTGGTTTTCATAAGAAAGGTTACAAATGGTATTAGAGCCTCTCCGAGTCCCTCTTGAACGATGGTGGGGCAAATCTCAACGACGACGTTGAGTCCCGGGGAGGTGGGGGGGGGGGGGGGCGAGGGGGTGTATGTAACATCTTAGGCAAATCACAGATCGACAAAGTACGGTAGAGAACCATGGTGCATAAGTAAGAAACCGGGCTTAACTTACAAGACACATTTTGGGGTGAAATGGAGGAGTTATTGTGATAACTCCGAAGTTAAACGTGCTTAGTGTTGAGTAACTCCGAAGTTAAATTGCATCCAAAATAAAAAATTGTGAGGGTCGATGTCAAAGCCGACAATATCTTCGTTGGGAAAATGCTCGGGATGTTACAGCAAAATAATTCAAAATTTCCGCTTTTAAATCATTCAAATTTAAAATCAATTGAGTATCCACGAAATTAGGTAGTTTTACCATTCCACATATGACTAGATGTAACGCGCCTTAATCTTTCCCCTTATAGTTTGGCGTACTCAAGGTTATGGTTTAGTTTTCATGATGCAACGATCAATGGTCGTTTCTCTCGATCGGCTAGGCTGAGCAGTATGCTATCCCCGATGCGTCAGTTCTAATTGGGTTTTTATTTAAGAACAATGTTTAGGATCTAGTCGGCAACAAGGAGGGCAGTAATAGCGAGTTCAAATGCTGGAAAACTTATGACCCGTTTAGTATTGTTGTTTTGTTTTTGTTTTCTGTTGTGCTTTTAAGAATTGTGAAAACCAAGAAAAAATCCTGTTTAGTTGTGTTTTCTATTTTTGTTGTGCAAATTCCACAACCGGACCCAAATTTGAGAAACGCTAGAAAGTGACTTTGGATGTGTTTCGTTTCCTTTCTCCTTTATTCCCTTTTTTTCCTTTGTCAATCGTGTCTTCATTTACGCCACTATTTATCTTCCT